AAAAACGAACAAATCTGTCTTGGAAGCAGTACCGCCAGTTTCTCCTTAGCATTCTTGGGCCATGTTATCAGGAGGGGCCAGTCCCTGGAGAAGGACTCATGCTTGGTAAAGAAGAGGCTCAGCGAAAAAGAGGAAGAACTTCAACGAGATAGACTGACACAGTGGCTGCCAACTATGGGCTCAAACATGCCTACTACTGTGAGGATGGTGTAGGACCAGGCAACATTTTGTCCTGTGGTACACAAGGGTCGCTGTAAGTTGGAACTGACTCCAACTTAAAACTGGCAACAGGATAGTTGTGGGAATTAAATGTAATACTAATGCATGTAAAAGCACTTATCTCAGAATACCTGTTGCCGTCGAGTCGATTCCGACTCATAGCGACACTACAGGACAGAGTAGAACTGCCCCATAGGGTTTCCAAAGAACGGCTGGGGGATTCGAACTGCCTATCTTTCGGTTAGCAGCCAAGCTTTTAACCACTGTGCCACCAGGGCCCCTATATCAGAATAGTCACTGAGAAAAAGTTAGAATATGTGATTTTCCCTTCCGTAATAACATTGCTTTATGAGTTAAAAATCCTGCCATTTAAAATTAAGTTACCCTTCCCTCTCCCAAAGCAACAACAACAAAAAAATCCCAGAAGGATATAAGTTCACAGAGCTAAATATGATTCTCAGAACTACCAGTTGATTGGAAAAACACATTTCAATGATTTAATTTTTAAAATAATGAGTAAAGATAATGGTTGCACAGAAGCTGGAGGTTTACAAATAAGCTAAAACTTGGAATCAGGTTACTGTTCTAGATGGTCCACTAACCACAGATATCTTATGGATGTCTGACATGTTTTATACTTGTCAGCATAATACTAACCAGAGGAACTATAATTCTCTGTTTCTTCAGAATAAAAATGGGTGTTTGTACCACTCTGGATTTTATTCCACTGGTCAGAGAACCAGTCTGCCTAAGGATCAATGCCATCTGAAACTAAAGGGTTTCTATTTTACTTCTTCACCCATGTCATGGTCTGAATTATGTCCCCCCAAAAATGTATCAATTTGGCTGGGCCATGATTCCCAGAATTGTGTGGTTGGCCTCCATTTTGTGATTGTCTTTTTATGTTAGAGAGGATTAGGGTGGGATTGTAACACCACCCTTACCCAGGTCACATCCCTGATCCAGTGTAAAGAGAGTTTCCCTGCGGTGTGGCCTGCACTACCTTTTATTTCTCAAGAGATAAAAGAGAAGCAAACAGAGAGTTGGGGACCTCATACCACCACAAAAGAAGCACCAGGAGCAAAGCGCATCCTCTGGACCCGAGGTTCCTGCACAGAGATGCTCCTAGTCTGGGGGAAGACTAATGATGATGAGGACCTTCCTCCAGAGCCGACAGAGAAAGCCTTCCTCTGGAGCTGATGCCCTGAATTTGGACTTCTAGCCTACTGGACTGTGAGAGAATAAACTTCTCTTTGTTAAAAGCCATCCACTTGTGGTATTTCTGTTAAGAGCAGCACTAGATGACTAAGACAACGCAGTAGGCTAGCTCTTTAAGCCAAACCAAACCCATTGCTGTGCGGTTGATTCCAACTCATAGCAACCCCATAGGACAGAGTAGAACTGCTCCATTGGGTTTCCAAGACTGTAATCTTTACAGAGGCAGACTGCCGCATCTTTCTTCCACGAAGTGGCTGGTGAGTTTGAACTGCTGACCTTTAAGTTAGCGGCCGAGCACATAATCACTGTGCCACCAGGGCTCCTCAGGCTCTCTCTTTAGGATATCAAAATATCTAGATGATTAATTTTAGCTTTTATTTTCCATGCAAATGTTTTGGCATTGCTTATACATTTTTAAACAACTTTATTGAGGTATTATTTACATAAGATAAAATTCATCTATTTGAAGTATACAGTTCTATGAGTTTTAGTAAATTAAAACAGTTGTGCAGTTTTTAGAACAATTACACCATACACTTTGTTTTCCACCAGTGAAAGAATTTATCAGACCATTAACCTGTGAATTTAAACTATCTAGCTCTCTAGGAGGTGCAGTGGCGAAGAGCTCATCTGCTAACCAAAAAGGTCGACAGTTGGAATCCACCAGCTGCTCCTCGGAAACCCTATGGGGCAGTTCTACTCTGTCCTATAGGGTCGCTATGAGTTGGAATTGGCAATGGGTTTGATTTTGATTGGTTTAGCTCTCTAGGACCTAGCTTAGGTGTTCATTTTGAATAAATCAAGCTTTAAAAAAAACTCAAACTTTCAACTTTACTCAAAATAGAGGTCGGTAAAACACATTTTAACTCGATGGCAGTGGGTTTGGTTTGGTTTTAAAGCACATTTTCCGACAGTCTCTCCAAAGATCTGCAGGCTAATTAAAAAATATAAGTGAAAACAAATGTATGTATGTATTTGGAAAAATATACACTGCATAATTGAGTATAGTTTATGCCAATAGGCATAAAAATTAATTTAAAGAATATTTTCAATTATGGCCATCTTTCACCCAAGGAAAAGCAATGCCAAAATTTTTTTTTTTTTTTTTACTATTATGAATATTATTAGGTGGGATGGACTGTCCAGGGCCTAAACACCTTGATCTAGTATAGCTCAAGTTTACTGACAAAATATTCCCCTTTCTGTGATTTGGCTGTGCACATCTTGGAAGGCTTAGACCTGAGATATTGGCTTGGGCGCTTGATGAGGAAGAGCTTCTTCTCTAATGGGATATCTATGAGGCCCTGATTTTGTCTTGTTTCAAAAAGATTTTATTAGAGAGAGAATTAAATTTTCACGCCTCTCTTCTTGCAAATTCAGTATTTATGATCTACTTCTCTCAATACCCACTCCACTAAAACAAACCCAAACTTGTTGCCTCAGGTCGATTCTGACTCCTAGTGACACTACAGAACAAAGTAAAACTGCCTCATAGGGTTTGCAAGGAGCGGCTGGTGGATTTGAACTGCCGGCCTTTTGGTTAGCAGCCGAGCTCTTAACCACCATGCAACCAGGGCTCCAACCCAGATTTAGATGGTTCTTTTGCTCTGCTATTTTTACTTCTCCCCAGCCAACACCCTCTCCCAGTACAGCAGCATCCATTAAAAATGTACATAAAACCTTAGGGGGAGGAACAACTCAGAAAATGAGGGTGAAAATGGTTGCACAACTCGAAGAATATCATCAATGGCACTGAGTTGTACATGGAGAAACTTGAATTAGTGTATGTTTTGCTGGTATAATCTCAACAACAAAATAAAATTTAAAAAAAAGTACATAAAAATCTCAATGCAAGAATTACAATCTTGCATTGAGAATACTGAAAATGCCTCTCCCTGTGTATTTACCTATTTGTTTTTCGCTCCTGTCTTGTATCTGTGTTTATCTACAGGTGCTTCAGAGGGGTGGGTTGTGATATATAAACTACCTCTCCTTTGGAAATTCCAGACTTATCTTTCTCTAGTTCTACAGAATTTACTGCCAGAACTACTCATCTTGGCATTTAAATACTACTTTATGTTGTTATTTAAATATTTAATGACAACAACAACAAAAAACCCAAACAACCCATTGCTGTCAAGTCGATTCCGACTCACAGCAATCCTATAGGACAGAGTAGACAGAGTAGAACTACCCCATAAGGTTTCCATGGAGTGGCTTGTGGATTCGAACTGCTAACCTTTTGGTTTTAGCAGCTTAGCTCTTAACCACTGTGCCACCAGGGCTACATCTAAATAACTTTTTGTGTAACCTAGTCCATATTACACAAAAAGTTATTTAATAAATACTTGTTTAATTAATGACTGATACCTCAGGTTTGTTGCCCCTCCTCTGCGCCCCCCCATTTACATTTATCACATAGTCCAGATTTCCTAGGCATTTCAGATTTCAAATTTTGTGTTACTGTCCCCATAAGTACAATTGCACGTGCCACACCATATGTCCCTACATATGGTCCTCAATAACTGTAATATGAAAGCATCTCTATTGCAATAAATCCTGGATTTCTATTCCCCCCTTTTTGTTAACTAATAGATTTGATTACAATTTCAAATGCAGTTCCCTTTCTTTTATTTAACTTCATCCTCGATTTTTTTAAATTACAAAAGCATACTACCGGAAAAAGTTTGACAATACAAAATGTACAAAGTGAAATTCCCCTTCACCAAAGGTGATCTATTTTCCCCTTGTTGTTTCCACCTTAACACATAACTCAGGGATCATATACAAGCGTGCCTGGAGAACATCAGTAGCCACAGGAGGCAGCTGCGTGGTCCAAATGGCACTGAGCCGAGAACTGAGAACTGTGCACCTGTCCATAGATCTGCCACTCAGTAACTCTATGACCTTGGGCAAGTCACTCAAACTTCTGAGTCTCGGAGTCTTCCATAAAATGCTACCCATTTCACTAGGTTGTTGGGTAAAACGAGAAGCGTATGCGTAAGCACTTATAAAGTCTACAGCGCTAGGCAGGTGGTCCCTGGGTGGTACAAACGGATAACTGCTCCACTTATTCGTTTAGTGGGTTGAACCCACCCAGAGGCGCCTCAGAAGACAGGCCTGGCGATCTGCTTCCCAAAGGTCACAGCCATGAAAACCCTATGGAGCAGTTCTACCCCGCATACAAGGGTTGCCATGAGTGGGAATCGACTGGGAGGCAACTAACAACAACAAAGCGCTACGCAAATTTAAAGGACTGTTCTGGGGTTCTAGAGAAGTCTTTACTTCTGCTCGATTATACACTTTTCCGTCCACCACCGCAGCTTTAAAAACGCCCCCACTCCACCCCCAACTCCCACTACTCCAGCACCGCCAATTCCGTGGCTCCTCCTACAAGTGGCTGCTCTCGAGGCTTCCACCTACCCCAGCGACAGAACACAAAGGCTGAACGAGAGCCCACGAGCGCCAGGCCCCGGCTCCTAGATGGCTGCGAAGATAGGGGCGTTCTCAGTCTCCGGGAGAAAGGAGCCTACTCTCTACAGCTTTAACTCGTGCTCCCTCTAGGGCCGCCTCTAGGTCTTAAACTTAAACTAGAGTCGAGCTCAGCCTCAAACTCGCCAAAACCTGCAAAGGGAAGCTTCCCTCTTCCCGGAAACCCCGCCAGTCGGTTAACTTCCCCCAGCCTTAACCACGCCCCACCCGGCAAACGCCAGGTCCTACACCGCTCCTCGCCTCTTTCTCATTACCGCGTGCGCGAAGCTTGAGGGCTGCTTTGATTGGTTGTAGGTAAGCGAGTACAGGAGGTGAACCACGATTGGTTCCTGAATGAGGAGGGCGGAGTAAAAGGCGGAAACAGGGGCTGGGAGCTGGGCTTGGTGTAAGAAGACGAGAATGATGGAAGTTGTTAAGTGCCCCGAGCACGGTAAGGGACCAGAGCCATGGGGGTCTCTTGGATCTACCAATCTATCGGCGGTGTAATCGTTGTTGACCTTCTCTCCTCAGGGACCTTCTGTTTTCTGAAGACTGGCGTCCGCGATGGTCCGAATAAGGGAAAGAGCTTCTACGTGTGTCCCGCGGACGCATGCGAATTCGTGCAGGCCACCAAGTAGGTCTCGAGCTGGGCACGATGTCCACCAACAACCTGTAGCCTTCCAGAAGGAGCTCCTGGCTCCTCGCTGCCCGTCCCTCAGGAACTAGGAGTGGTGGGGCCCCAGGTTTGCGGAGCCAGGGCAGCCCTATAAGCAGTTGCTAATCCCAGGACTGTGTGGCGTGTTCGCAACAGCTGTGCTGGGCGTCGGACCCTTGCTCCTCAACTGTTGGCTGAGTGACCCGAGGCTCGTCACTTTTCCTCTCTGGCCGCCGATCCCCCACCCGTTAAATGGAGGCTCTGGCAACATAGGGATCCCTCCAGTTCTTTCCAGCTCTGGTATCCATTCACCTGTCAGGCCTTTTCCATTCACCCACTCCCTTTTCCTGTTTGGACTTGCCCTCTTGTTTAAGAAAGAGGACACTCAAGCATAGTGGAAAATAACTTGTCGTTGTTTTGCACTGTTTTTAGGCTGAGGTGGTTTTAAGTGTTTGAGATTAAAACACTTTGGTGGTCAGATTGTCAGACCCACTCCCTTTTCTTTTCTTTTTTTTTAAATTACCGTGCATCTAAGTGATGAGAGTGATAATCCAAAGAAGCATGTTACTTTAGGGATTAGAATTGAAAGAAACATGAGAGAGCTTTATTTACTTTTACAGAATTGAAAGGTGAGGCCCAGAAATGGTACTGTCTTCCCTAAAGTGATAAAAGTTAATGCTCTTCTCACCAAGTGTTAATATTTTCACACTAACAGGTATCACACACTTTACAGTATATGTGAATTTTAAAACTATCACATTAAACCTTTTTTCCTGCTCTCTATTCAGCTGAGCTTCATAGAGAGAAGTTTCTTTTTTTCTTCATATCATATGTAAGGCACAAAATGGATACCGTGTTAGTCATCTAGTGCTGCTTACAGAAATACCGCAAGTGGATAGCCTGAACAAGGAGAAATTTATTCTCTCACAGTCTAGGAGGCTAGAAGTCCAAATTCAGGGTGCCTTCAGAGGAAGACTTTCTCTCTTGGCTATGGGGGAAGGGTCTTGTCATCAATCTTCCCTGGTCAAGGAGCTTCTCAGCATAGGGACCCTGGGTCCAAAGGATGCACCATTCTCATAGCTCTTGTTTCCTGGTGGTATGAGATCCCCATATCTCTCTGCTTGTCTCTCTCTTTTATATCTCAAAAGAGATTGCTTTAAGACACAACCCAGTCTTACAGACTGAGTCCTGCCTCATTACCATAACTGCTGCTAACCCCACCTCATTAACATCATAGAGGTAGGATTATAACACATGGGAAGATCACATCAGATGACAAAATGGTGGACAATCACACAATACTGGGAATCATGGCCTTGCCAAGTTGACACATTTTTGGGGGACACAATTCCATCCATGACAGATAACCAATACTAGAAGATAAAGTTCTTTCAATGTGTATATTAACTTCTGATGTTTCCCTTAAAGGATTAGGCTGATCTGTATCTTTGTTATGCTTTGAAACTAAGTGAAAGACTTTGCATCCTTTTTCAGATTTAGAAAATAAATTTATAGAGAAAATATTTTCTTAGCTCTCCAGTAAGTTGTTTTTCTTATTTGAAATAAATCACTGGCATCCAGTTTAATTAAATACAAAATGATTTTGAGTAAAAGCAGTATCAGTTCTTTAGAAGGGACTAAGCAAAAATACTCAAGCTGTATGGATCAACATTTCCTATCAGGGTTTACTGTTTACTTCTAATTTTTGAATATACTGAGCTTCATACATTCCGTAGCCAGCTCAAGTTTCATGAGACACAAAAGTGTGTTCATATTCACAATAACTAAGTATTAACAGTGGCATAAGATTCAGTTGTACCTTAAAAGAAATATGCCCTTATATACAGAGTGCTTGCTATTTATACAAATGTACTGCTATACAAAAAGTACAGTAATACTTGAAGACGGTTATTTAATAAAATTGACCTATTTGGAATATGTGTGATAACCAAAATATAAGGCAAAAAACAAACAAAACCAGTGCCACAGGTTATGTAAGAGTACTTTAGACCTTTGCTCAAACCTATTTACTCTCAAATGTTATATATATTTAATTTTTTTTCCTAATAAGATGGAAGGGAGGAGTTTATAAAATTATTTATGCCAGCCTGGAGCAAACTAGCATAGTGTGTTGTTGGAGGCATATGAACAACACTAAGTGACAGCTAACAGGTTATTAAAGGAAAAAGGGTGATGGGAGAATCTGGGGAAATTCATACAGGGCCTCACAGCCAGCCTTAGATACTTCAGTCATTCCTAGGGGTATCACAGTGTAGAGGTCATATAGCACCATGTAGTTTTAAATTTTTGAGTCATCAGGAAAAGATAGATATGTTTATTGTAATGCTGTATTTGAGGGAGTGGAGAGGATGAAAGCTATGGGCCCTTTTACCAGAGGAATGCACATAGACAAAAATGTGTGGGATTTACAAACCCAGTGGAAGTCATACATGGACTTGGGTTTAAAACCCATAGTTTGCTTTTTGATTTTAGGATGTCAATCTCTATTCCTTGCCTCCTAAAATAAAGATTTTTAAATTTTCTTTCTCTAGCATTCCTGTGTCTTATTGTTTATTGCATGAGGACTTTGTGGTAGATCTTCAGGGTCTCCTTCTACCACAGGGCAAGAATGAATACAGGTAAGTGTCCAAAAGGAAGATCAAAAGGTATTTGATTTTTTTCCTGAAAGAAGTATCATTAGTTATGTTTGATAGTCTATTTATGCCATAATTAGAGTGTCTAGCTTTGTCTCTATGTTTTTTTTCCATAAACTTTATAGTTTTTGGTTTAATATTTAGGTCTTTGATCCATTTTGAGTTTGTTTTTGTGTATGGTGGAGGAATGGATCCTGTTTCATTTTTCTCCAAATGGATATCCACTTTTGCCAGCACCATTTGTTAAAGAGACTTCGTCTTCCCCATTGAATGGACTTCGACCCTTTGTCGAAGATCAGCTGTCCATAGCTGGATGGATTTACTTCTGGGTTCTCAATTCTATTCCTTTGGTCTATGTGTCTGTCTTTGTACCAGTACCGGGCTGTTTTGACTACCGTGGCTGTATAGTAGGTTCTGAGATTGGGAAGTGTGAGAATACAGTGAGATAACAAGTGTAGTGCACTTTGGTGCTTGGCAGTTACTCAGTAAATGATTGCTAAATTGGGGTTTATGGATAATGAGTTTACCATTAAGCAAGACAAGGAAGGAGAGGTAACTTCAGTAGAAGATTCGGATGTGTGGCTAGTGCATCAGGTATGGATTAATCAGGCCTCATGTATATGTGAAACAAGCTAGAAAAGTGAGTATGTGGCCCTGGAGAAAGGTCTAGGCTAAAGATGGAATTTTGAGACCTTACCATTAACATTCTTCCAGCTAGGCAGATGAGGTGGAGAGGTGATCATTATTTTACAATGGGGGAAAAAAGCTTGCTAAGTGTATTTCTTTTAGCCCAAATCTAGAAAATGTAATTAAAAGGTACTTACTAGAACTTAAAAGGGTAATTTTAGGACAAATAAAATACAGGTCTACAATATACAGTAAATTCAAAATAAGTTACTCTGATAGGTGGTACAGGCTGGAAATTTAAACAGAAATAGATAAACCCATGGATGATACCTTCCTTAGCAGACAGCAAAGGCATTTAACTGAAATCCCTGTGCCCTGGAGAATGACTCTTTTCCTGGCCACTGGGTTTTCTTTTCAATAACTTAAAGTACTTTACATTCTTTAATTCATATGATTATGTTTAAAGCTTAACATAGCTATGAGACAGGTGCAGCCGAGTAATGGAGGAGAGAAATAAACCAAGGCTAAGGAGCCTGTTTTTCGTACTGTGGAGTGTAGCTACATCTCTGTGCCGTTCTGTAACTTTATCACCAGACGGTAACACTCACCAGCATTTGGCTGGTGCTTCAGATATGGCCCTCTGTGTTCGAGTAATAAAGAAAACCAGGATAGTCATTCATTAGAACCAGAGCGAAGAAATCTTGTCTTGACGTGAATGATGTCACATACCCCAGTATACACATGTCGAACATCGTCATCTGACTCCTGAGTTCATATTCATTCTCTCAATCTCTCCACCTTTCTCTCTCTCTCTCAGTTTTTCTTGAGAATATATGGTGTCAAAGTAGAAGGAAATATTGATGTTCAAAATGCTTTATATTTTGTAACATTTGAATCTTCACTCATCTAGCAAACTCCTTGTGTAGCTGGTTATTGGGTAAAGTTGGTATGCAAATTTAGTCCCAATATAATAGGCAGGCTGGTGATAGAGAGCATTTGAGTATGAGCCAAACTTAGGCAGAAGGACCTCTGCCCCACAACTCAATAAAGCCAGTATTTACTGGGTGTTACAGAGTATCATGCACTGTATTGTACAGTGGAGGTAATTTTTGTATGTCTGTGTATATATATATGTGTATTTGTGTGTGTGTATATATGCATATATATATATATATACACACACGCACACACCCGTTAGAACCCAAACCCGTTGTCACTGAATTGATTCTGACTCATAGTGACCCTATAAAACAGAGTAGAACTGCATATGGTTTCCAAGGAGCGCCTGGTGGATTTGAGCTGCCAACCTTTTGGTTAGCAGCTGAGCTCTTAACTACTATGCCACCAGGATTTCCATATATATGTGTGTGTATGTGTGTATGTGTGTATATATATATATGTGTATATACATACCTTTTGTAATATGTGTAACAGTTACTTTTTTCCAGTTTGCCTTTTGTCTTGTAATTTTGCTTATGGTATTTTTACCATATGGAAGTTTCAAACTTTTATGTAATCAAAATTATTAAATCCTTTGTTCCTTGGCTTCAGGGTTTTATGGCATTCTTAGAAAAGCTTTGTCAATATAGAATTATAAAAACATGCATGTCTTTTTTTTTTTTTCCTTTTCCTGAAACATTTACAGTTTTATGTTTACATTTTAACCTTTGTTCCATCTGGAATTTAAATTGTAAAAGAATGAGGTAGAAAGTCAGCTTTATGTTTTCCAGTGCTGGAGAATATAAAGAAGTAAACTTCTACTCCTAAGGGCTCAACAACACAACTGGAGTAAGAGTTAGATGTACTAAGATTGGTGAGCAGTCCAATCTGCATATGATAGAGTGAGAAATTCAGTGTGTTCAAATGCTGGATGGTTCTGTGACTGTAAGGCCTACATTGAGGGATTAAGGCTGACCAGGGTAACTGAGAAAATGGAGGAATTGAGACTTGAACGTGGCCTTGAATGATCTTTAAAATTTAGATAGAGAGGAAGTGTTCTGGGCAAAACAACATAAGCAGAAGTGTGGATATATGAATAAACAAGGTAGTTGGCAAGAGTGAGCTAATGATTGCTGGTATTTATGAAGTCCTTAACATGGAGCATGCTCTATTCTAATGTTTATATGTCTTAATGTATTTAATTGTTACAGTGTCTATATGAAGTAGGCCCTCTTATTATTTTTACCATTTTACAGGAGAGAAAACTAGCACGGGGCAGTCAGGTAAGGTGCTTGATGTTTCAGAGGTAATCATGAGGTATGGCTGGGATTTGAACCAAGGGAGGATAGTTCTGGAGACTGAGAAGATCCCAGCCTGACTAAGGGAATGTGCTTGACTCTGTGATGCTGGGTTGGATGGTTACATTTAGTGAGAAAGGATTTTTCTTCTGGAAAGGAAGACAGGATTGAAGAGGTCCGGCTTCCTCTGGAGCTCTGGTGGTGCAGTGGTTAAGAGCTTGGCTGCTAATCAAAAGGTCGGCAGTTGGAATCCACCAGCCGCTCCTTGGAAACCCTATGAGGCAGTTCTACTCTGTTCTGTAGGGTCGCTATGAGTCAGAATCAACTCAATAATTGGGCAATGGATTTGGTATGGGTTTGGGCTTCCTTTAGTTGAGGTCTTCATTAATATTGTTTATAACTTATGCACCTGGAAAATAATTAATTAATATCCTGAAGAAATTATGCTATGCTTCATCACCCATAACTGGTTGTAGTTGAATTGATCCTGACCCATGTGTTACAAAGCAGAACTGCTCTGTAGGGTTTACTTGACGTTAATCTTTATGGAAGCAGATTGCCAGGCCTTTCTTGCATGATGCCACTGGGTAGGTTCAAACCGCCAACCTTTAGGTTAGCAGCTGATTGCAAACCATTTGCGCCACCCAGGGACCTTGCTTCAACACAGTGGAATCTATATTTGCTTTCTCTGTGAGAATGCATTTCCACTACCTTTTTCTTTGATTTATAATTTAATTAAATGACATAAGTTTTTATCCTTAGAACAGAGAAGCTCAGCCAGATTGATTTTAATTAAAAATGTAAGTAAAAGCATTTAGCACCATACTTAGCACAGAAGATGGCGCAGGACTAGACAACGTTTCGTTCTGTTATGCAGAAGGTTGCCATGAGTCGGAGCCGACTCAACAGCATGTTAACAACAACAGTTGCCAACAATCTAGTCAGGCATATGTTGTTGTTGTTGTTAGGTTCTGTCTAGTCATTTCTGACTCATAGTGACCCTGTGTACAATACAACAAACATGTCCCAGTCCTATGCCATCCTCACAATCGTTGCTATGTTTGAGCCCATTGTTGCAGCCACTATGTCAGTCCAACACGTTGAGGGTCTTTCTCTTTTTTGCTGACCCTCTACTTTACTAAGCATGATGCCCTTCTTCAGGGACTGGTCCCTTCTGAGAACATGTTCAAAGTATGTGAGACGAAGTCACATCATCCTTGCTTCTAAGGAGCATTCTGGTTGTACTTCTTCCAAGACAGATTTGTTTGTTCTGGTAGTCCATGGTGTATTCAATATTCTTCGTCAGCACCGTAATTCCAGTGCATCAGTTCTTCGATCTTCCTTATTCATTGTCCAGCTTTCGCATGCATCTGAGGTGATTGAAAATACCACAGCTTGGGTCAGGAGCACTTTAGTCCTCAGAGT